AAAAAAAAAAAAAGAAAAAGAAAGAAAAAAAAGCAGAAATTTCAATAAGAGATTAAATTGAGGATCAGGTCCAAGATAACAATTATCATTATTGCCGTAGACAAAGGCAAAACGCGGTTATAAACTTTTTGACACATTTTATGGTCTAAGTAATCTATCATCAGTGTCGTGATTGTTTATCTTCACTTTTTTAAACTTACTTTAATTTATATCTCCTCTTTTAAAGGATTTACGTGCCGAAAACTCTCCTCCACAAATGATGTGCAAATTTTGCCCGACAGTTGTGCTTTATACAATCAAACATACGGCTCAATTTGCTCATTTTCCTGCGCTAATGGAAAACAAATTAGTGGTCCTTCATCTGCTCGGTGCGGAATAAGAGGATACTGGAGCGAGGAAGTGAAAGAAGTCAACTGTAATGGTTCGTATAACTCTAATTTTTCTTTTTTATTTAGAAGAACGAACTAGGGGCAATGTTTAACCCAGTAATTCAACAAGCATATGAAATTGGTGGGCGGTTAATAATGTTACGTAATTTTCATTACTGGAAACAAAACGCTTCCGATCTGCATCCAAATTAAGTATATGTAACAATGTCCGGTGCGGTTGGGACACAGGACCGACGTGGAACATGTAAACTCATTATGGAATTGTTAGAAATAGCTTTTCTGGGCCTCCTAGGGAGGCACTAGAATTGCCAGAGAAACTAATCCTTCGATTAAGTACAAGAAAAGATTGACGTTTAGAAACGACGTCGACTGATTTCCATGTGCCGAACCTAATGCATAAATTACTATAATTTATTTTCACTGGTAACCGTTGTAGACTATGTTAACATCTTGAAAATGAATTGAGTCCGACTAATTAAGTTTGACGTATGAATCAACCGTCGGACTTTTAGCAGTTGGGTCGACCCAAATAGCTATTAAGTTCGGTACATCAAAAGTTCGACGTTTGAACTGGGCCTTAGTCCCCTTCTTTCCCATTCGCCCTTAGTGTATTATCGTTTTCAACATTTTAATGTATCGTTTCATAACTCTTAAAAAGAGCAAGGCAGCTTTTTATGGAATTTCCATTGACAGAAACACATCCACTGGATTTTTGCAAGTAGCACTCAATCTCTGTGGCATTTTCTTTTAATTTGATTTGTTATTTAGAATGTCAAGAGGCTCTCGGTATGGAGAAAGGAGCGATCTCTGACGGGCAGATTAGTGCTTCGTCGCAGCTTGATGTCAACCACGAACCCAGTCAGGATAGACTGAATTTGAAAGGATCGTGGTCATCTTACGCTAATGACGCTAAGCAATGGCTACAGATTGATCTAGGTACCAATCCTGTCACTGTCACATGGGTGGCAACCCAAGGAAGTAATCACCAGAGCCAGTGGGTAATAAATTTCACGCTGAAATACAGCGACGACGGTCTGAATTCCCATTTGTACAAACAACAAGGACAAAGTGAGCACAAGGTTAGACACCTTTGAAGACATTCATTTTGTGTGGAGTTTGTTACTTTTTTAAATGAAGTGATGGTTGCTTGTTAAAAACAGTAGTACATAATAAAAATAATAATAACAATAATAATAATGATAATAATAATAATGATAATAAATAATTAAATAAATTACTTATATTACGCCTTTTAACAATACTAGGAATTAAAAGCTAGTTTAAAAGGATATGTTTTCAGTAAGGATTTAAACTGTTAAACTGATTTTTATTTCCTTAACGAGATGGGTAAGGTATTCCACAATGTGGGAGCAACAACAGAAAAATATCTGTCTCCGAAAGATGTTAACTACCCACGAGGGAAATCTAGTAGTAGTCTATCATTTTATCGCAGCTGATAGGCAGATTGATTCCTTACTGAAATAAAATTACTGATATACTGGGGTGACTGACCAAGCAAAGATTTAAAAATTAAAACACGCACCGTCACGCGAGTTACCGCTGACCGCCCGCAAAACTGTGTTCAGCCACCTTTAAAAGCCGTTTTTGTCTCGAGGGAGCACGAAAATCGGATAAAAGTTGCCTCCAAAGGAAAAAGAATGCAAGGACCCCCTTATCACTGGTTATTTCCGAGTTAGAACTAATCTACCAGGTCCTTCATTTCTTAGTTGTAAATTAGAATATAAGAAAAATCTTGTAGTGTCAATGCATCAAAAACGTATAACGTAGCTAAGTACATGCGCGCTTATTTTAAAACACTTCCAAATGACCGACGTGCATGTGCAATCAGCACTGCAAGAAAAATTCTATATTAACAGCAAATATTTGCTCGGGGCAAATGTGATGCAAAGAAGTGCAAACTAGGAGGAAACCACTGAGGGGATAAATAAGTTGGTAAATAAGGCAATTGCATCCTAATTTACATGATAGGGTTGCAAATTCAAGGGCAAATATATTCACCATCTTTTCCCCTTATTTCCTCCTAGTTTGTACTTTTTCGTATCATGTTTGCCCTGAGCAAGTTTTGTGTAAATCTAATTTTATGCACAGTGAAGAAATATTTAGAAACTTGACCGGATTTTAAAATTCAAAGATGTATCTCAAATCTCAATTTAGTGCCTAATCTGTACGCATAATAGGGAATCTGCGCAGTCTTAAACTCAGTTGAAGACATAACCATCCTGACCTCAGCTTTTATATAATTAATTATCTTTTATAGGTTGCCCTCAAAATTGGACTCCACACCAATCTACTTGCTATAAACTATCCTCTAATACCCTGGAATGGATCGCGGCAAAATTTGCGTGCGAAGCACTCGGATCTAATCTCGCAATGTTGGATTCACCAGCTGAACAACAAGAAATTGCTTGGGGGAGCAGGACATGGATTGGTTTGCACCGTGACTCCAGTAATAACTCACACTGGCAATGGATTGATGGTTCGTTAGCGATTTACCTAAACTTTGATTATAACCAGCCAGACAACTGGAAAGGCACTGAAGATTGCGTAGAAATATATCCGTCAAGGAAATGGAATGACTTGAACTGTAATACTCCTCGTCATTATTCTTGTGAATTGTCGTCGGGTAGGTCACGTTATTTTCGGACAACAAGAAATGAAATAGTTTTATATTCAAGGAGACGTATCTCAAACGGATTTCTGGCATTTTTTTTTTTTTTAAAGAAAAGTCACAATTGTGTAGATTGAAATAATAATAGCTCCTACAAGACTAACCTAGTATTTTATATTTGATAGTAACTAATGCACTCGTGTAGCGCATTTTAAAAAGTTATTAGTAAGGGGGCTTACCTACCTATTTATATTTTCTACAAACACACACACACACACCCACCTCTTTTTGGTCTCTAAGTCGCTGTTATTCGTGTGCGGTCATTGCCCAATGGCAGTTTTCTGGAGAATTGGATAATATTTTGACCAGATTTGTAACACGATTGCATGACGGTTTTATGTTCGATTCTGGAGTAAACACAACCTCGTTCCCAGGGCCCTCTCCTACTCTCCGGCGATTTGCGCTACCAAGTGTAAGATTTAAATGAAATCAAGGACACAAATAACTCCTCTGCGAAAAGTATGTTGCTAGAATTTCCTTACGTCCACGAGCACAAGGCCGGTGACTGTATGGTCGAGCAGACAGCGAAAAGAAAAGTGTCATGTTTTTTCCTTTTTTTGGTTGGAAGAACTTCATTCCATTGTCTTAAGTATTCTAATGAAATTCAATTAAAAAGACAACAAACGAGAAAAAAAAAAAAAGAAAAAGAAAGAAAAAAAAGCAGAAATTTCAATAAGAGATTAAATTGAGGATCAGGTCCAAGATAACAATTATCATTATTGCCGTAGACAAAGGCAAAACGCGGTTATAAACTTTTTGACACATTTTATGGTCTAAGTAATCTATCATCAGTGTCGTGATTGTTTATCTTCACTTTTTTAAACTTACTTTAATTTATATCTCCTCTTTTAAAGGATTTACGTGCCGAAAACTCTCCTCCACAAATGATGTGCAAATTTTGCCCGACAGTTGTGCTTTATACAATCAAACATACGGCTCAATTTGCTCATTTTCCTGCGCTAATGGAAAACAAATTAGTGGTCCTTCATCTGCTCGGTGCGGAATAAGAGGATACTGGAGCGAGGAAGTGAAAGAAGTCAACTGTAATGGTTCGTATAACTCTAATTTTTCTTTTTTATTTAGAAGAACGAACTAGGGGCAATGTTTAACCCAGTAATTCAACAAGCATATGAAATTGGTGGGCGGTTAATAATGTTACGTAATTTTCATTACTGGAAACAAAACGCTTCCGATCTGCATCCAAATTAAGTATATGTAACAATGTCCGGTGCGGTTGGGACACAGGACCGACGTGGAACATGTAAACTCATTATGGAATTGTTAGAAATAGCTTTTCTGGGCCTCCTAGGGAGGCACTAGAATTGCCAGAGAAACTAATCCTTCGATTAAGTACAAGAAAAGATTGACGTTTAGAAACGACGTCGACTGATTTCCATGTGCCGAACCTAATGCATAAATTACTATAATTTATTTTCACTGGTAACCGTTGTAGACTATGTTAACATCTTGAAAATGAATTGAGTCCGACTAATTAAGTTTGACGTATGAATCAACCGTCGGACTTTTAGCAGTTGGGTCGACCCAAATAGCTATTAAGTTCGGTACATCAAAAGTTCGACGTTTGAACTGGGCCTTAGTCCCCTTCTTTCCCATTCGCCCTTAGTGTATTATCGTTTTCAACATTTTAATGTATCGTTTCATAACTCTTAAAAAGAGCAAGGCAGCTTTTTATGGAATTTCCATTGACAGAAACACATCCACTGGATTTTTGCAAGTAGCACTCAATCTCTGTGGCATTTTCTTTTAATTTGATTTGTTATTTAGAATGTCAAGAGGCTCTCGGTATGGAGAAAGGAGCGATCTCTGACGGGCAGATTAGTGCTTCGTCGCAGCTTGATGTCAACCACGAACCCAGTCAGGATAGACTGAATTTGAAAGGATCGTGGTCATCTTACGCTAATGACGCTAAGCAATGGCTACAGATTGATCTAGGTACCAATCCTGTCACTGTCACATGGGTGGCAACCCAAGGAAGTAATCACCAGAGCCAGTGGGTAATAAATTTCACGCTGAAATACAGCGACGACGGTCTGAATTCCCATTTGTACAAACAACAAGGACAAAGTGAGCACAAGGTTAGACACCTTTGAAGACATTCATTTTGTGTGGAGTTTGTTACTTTTTTAAATGAAGTGATGGTTGCTTGTTAAAAACAGTAGTACATAATAAAAATAATAATAACAATAATAATAATGATAATAATAATAATGATAATAAATAATTAAATAAATTACTTATATTACGCCTTTTAACAATACTAGGAATTAAAAGCTAGTTTAAAAGGATATGTTTTCAGTAAGGATTTAAACTGTTAAACTGATTTTTATTTCCTTAACGAGATGGGTAAGGTATTCCACAATGTGGGAGCAACAACAGAAAAATATCTGTCTCCGAAAGATGTTAACTACCCACGAGGGAAATCTAGTAGTAGTCTATCATTTTATCGCAGCTGATAGGCAGATTGATTCCTTACTGAAATAAAATTACTGATATACTGGGGTGACTGACCAAGCAAAGATTTAAAAAACGATCAAAAGTATCTTAAAGAACTATCTTAAAGAAAAATGAAATCTCACTGGCAGCCAGTGAAGTTCATAAAGTACAGGGGTAACATGGCTAAACCTAGATGAAAAGGTAACAAGTCTAGCTGGGGCGTTCTGCAGTCTTTGCAACTTGGAGATCTCAGTGTTTGGAAATAGAGCAAATAGTTTACCAAGAACCAAAATACAGTTCAGTAATCTGTTTCCCTGCATGTCACCCATAAACCAAAAAAAGCTGTTATCAAAGTAAATCATCTTAATATGTACGTTTTGAGATCTTGTGCAACGTTACCCCTTCGTTAGTGAACTGTACTTTTCTTTTTCGACATTTCGTTCACCATACTTAATCTCCTTATTTAAACTCCCTCTAAGAAGTCGGTCGGGGTGAGTGAGGTTCATAAAGTTTCACAAACAAGAATGGGGATCATTGGGGTTGAGGATAAATTGTCGTCCATTTTAGCCATTTTTTTCCCTTTTGGTGAGTTGTGGTCGGGGCTTATTTGCTGTACTGTACAGTTCCCCTGTTCCTCAAAATAATTTGGAATTTCACTCTGTTTTCTGAAAATAATTTTAATTAACATGTTCCCCAAAATTCAATGTTGTCAGCTTTCCGAAGTTTCCAAAACATAAAGTTGTACTGGGGGTCAGACCTAACCTGTTTTGGAACCTGGAAAGGCATGTGGGCAAAGCGTAAAGAAAAAAAAGTCAGTATTTCTTTGGAAGGAAAAAAAAACGACCTCAGGCCCCAGTCTACTCGCCACGAAGTCACAAACAACTACAACAGACCACAGAAGCAGCAAAATTGACGAACAATAGACGTCTGAAAGTAAAAGTTTATTAAAATGATATTACTTTGAACTAGAAAATCAATGTCCCCCTGTTACTGGAAAGACTCAGCCGTTAACCTGTTCCCTAGAGGCCGGGCCATTTCAGGATACCTCTTCAGTGTTTCTTGAAAGTAAATGGTCAAGGTCTCTTGTTCCCCAAACCTTGGCCAGATACTCAAATTTCATGTTCATAGTGTTTGTTTGAAAAACAATCCTATTTGCATCTCTACATGCTATTATTAACAGTTTTTCATTTGTATTAGAGCTTACTTCTAGGTGTTCAGGGACCAGGGTGTCATGAAATTCAGTGCCTGGCGACACAAAATGCCACCCTCGGATTGTGAATAGCAGGCAAATGGCGCCAAAACCGCGACTAATTGTCCATCTAACTACAGTATTTTTGTCATTTTTTTTTGGCCTGCTCTAGGAGTTTGTTGGCAACACAGACGAGAATACTATCGTTTATAACGAACTCAATGGGTCGATTGTAGCACGCTACACACGTTTTCAACCAACAGCTTGGCATAACCACATATCAATGAGGGTGGAACTATATGGCTGCAAAGGTAATCTTTTTTGGTAACATCCCTCTTTTGTGGAATTCGGAAAAAATACAAACAAGTCCTTTACTACTGTATTGCTAATATTAATATTTACATTTAATGTCATGGCGTTTCGAGACCGCTGAAGAAACCTACATGTATTCAATTTCCTATTGAATAGCTTTCTCCCCTATTGAAGAAACCTTTAATTCTCTGATACTTTGACTTCGGCGTGACTTCATAGAATGCCTAAGATAGAAAAGAAGGAATTCATGACACACGTTATTCCTCTGCATTGTGGAGACCCTTTGGGAAAACAACAAACAATAACAAACAAACAAAAATAAAGCTCAGACGAAGTAAGAAATATTTCATCTCACAGCTTTGTTATGGAGCGTACATGTTGTGGTTCAACTTTTTCCTTGGTTTATTTTTCATTTTCCTATGTTTTAAACTCATAATCATACATTATCATACCCCCAAAAAAAGGAAAATAAAATTTTAACCATGGATAAGATTATTACAGGTTTGTTCGATATTGCCATCTTTACTACTGGAATGAACGTGTTTGTTTTCTTAGGAAACCTCGTATACCGCCGCTGGTTTCTAGATGGCAGTGATCCAGATGTGGGGTAAGATTGAGGGCGGGGAGGGGGCGGAGATGTGGCGTTTTACCTTACCCCTATTTTCGGATTTCCCTTCCCTTCGTAACTTTCTGTAACTCTTAAATATATTTTTTGATTGACCATTCTCTCTTGAGAATGGTTTCAGCATCGCCTCAAACTTATGCATTTTCCTTTCCAACTGCTGCAGGTAGCATTACACTCATTGCGTTAACTGGTTAAATTTTTGTCTTATAACGTAGGATTCGAGAGTAAAATAGTGGCTTGCATGTTCCTGTGACTGGTAATTCTTTAATCACAGCTAGATTCTATTCATTGTTTTTTGTGATCTTACAGGTATTTTGGTACCCTTAACCATATTGAAGGCTGGTGTCCTGGAAGCAAAGCGGCGACTTTCAGTCAGAATGGTTCCTATGCTACTGTGCCCAACGTTAACATAACAACCTGTGATTTTACAATTGCATTTTGGGTAAAGTATATTGGTGTTGACGGGCCTATACTGGCACTTTGGTCAAAGGGTGGAAAACTATTTTATGTTACTGTCAAGAATTCCAGTCTCCTTTTATCGATACACAACACTTTCGACTTACAAGCTAATTGCTGGTACCATATAGCAGTAACCTGTCAGCAGTTTAAGATCAAGGTCTTCGTTAATGGTTCGGAGCAGGCGTTGAGAGACCAATGGAATGAGTACTACTTCTCATCGACAAGCCATTATCAGTTAGAGTACATCATAGGGAATGACCCAGTTTTGGTCCAGATGCCAATGGCAAATGGGGTGTTTGTTGGAGCAGTCATGGATCTTTATGTGACTGGAAAAGCTTTATCTGCGAAGCAGGTCTCTGACCTGAGTAAAGGTGAGAATAGTGTCTATTCGAGGATAAATCGTATTCTTCGATCCTTGATAGGGGTCAGTTGGACGTTAAAAAATTGAATATTCTTTTTATAGTCTTGGTGTTAGGCTTTTAAAGATTGTGCAAGCTTAATGTTTTGGCATAATTCGTCATAATTTTCATCAATTTTCCAAAAATTATTATAATAATTTGCACTTTTGTGTAGTTTTACAGCTCAAAATTGATCATGTTACCACTTATTTTGGCCCGAGAGCAGAATCACGGGCAAATTTAAGTAACAAAATCAATTTTTTGTCTGCTTATATTGTCACATTCGTGGGACTCAGGTCCCGCAGGAATTAATCAAGGTAATCAAGAACTCTTTTTACATGACTCAACGCATGCGCATAATTAGCTCGATTATTTAAGATGGCGTCAGCGTACTGGTCGTTAATTCATGTTTCAGTTTTTGTAGTTGTGAGACAGTTTTGCATAGGTTTAGTGGTGAACTTTTCTACATTCATCTATCACTGCAAATACATTAGTAGAAATCACTAAGTAATCGCAGTATTATTCTCATTGTTTAAAGGCAAACCAATTACACCCGTGATAAACAACGAAGAGTCGGAAATACATGGTTGCAAAGTCAATGTTACGTGGAGTAGAAAAGAAATATGCACTATAACAAAGAGCACTGTACGCTTTAGGGAGATAAAGCCACTAGGCATTGAAGCCGAATGGACAGAACATAAGGTTCCTTCAACCACCTTTCATCTTTTATCTCTGGAATGCGATAAGGGGTATGAAATTGAAGTGTCTTCCTGGCTTGGAGAAGTTCAAAGCGACTGGTCAGTTTCTTGGAAATTTAAAACCCGCTCTACAGGTGCGACATTAATTTATGTATGTTTAATAATAGCTGATAGGTTTTGGTATTGACACCAAACCATATCCAGTTGAACCTCTGCTTAGGGTCCACAATAGCCGGGTTCTCAAATTCCGTCTTCCCGCTGTTTTTTTCTTCTTAATTCCGCTATCCCGCCCGTTTTTACGTCCGAATCCCGATCCCGCCTAGTCTGCTACACAGGCACAAAGGTTTTGGGGAGGAGCGTTGCGTGACGACACTAAAAACTGCTGTGTAGCAGACTAGATCCCGCCGTAATTAACATTAAAACGTTATACAATGTTTAAGACTTGCTTTCTTGCAATAGGCAGCTTTGATGTTTAAGGCTCTTGACTTAACCATTAATAGCCTGGGATCAGCCTCCGTAGTGGGGAAAAAAGGCAAAAAACGGGATCAATTTTTTTCTCCCTTTTCACCTAATACGGAGCCTGGTCCCAGGATAAACCATTAGCGACTGTAACTTTATTTTCTGTTTTGCTTATTATTATTTTTTGGGGGCAGTGCATCAGTACAAAAAAGAAGGTTTACTTCGATCTGAGTTTTGGCCATTTGAAAACAGCCAGTTGAGTTGGGTAGATGGATGCTTCGACTGCTTTACTGCTAGGTTGCATTAGACGATGAAGCCAATTGTCTACGCTGACAACGGGTCATGGAAAGTGTGTATGAACACACTTGTTGGACAGATTGATAAAATGTTCCCTTTCATGGAAACCCAAACCTCCTATGGAATCGAGCAGCACAAGCAACCGTAGACAAACTCATGCAGAAAGTGTACTTTTCCACCCTTCTTGCGCTTGGTCCTCGATTTCTTCCTCTTTTCTACTGCTACTTGTACTCATTCCTGTTAAAATCTCTTTACTTTCTCCCATTCTTAAATCCGCTCAAAAATAGGTGCGTGTGACCTGCAGTAGTAAGCAAAACAGTTCCTTTTTTTTCTCACAATCGGTTTTACAAGGTGCGAAGTACAGGCGAAGTGTGTGTTAAAATAACCGCGTATTTTTCGCGTCTCTCCCTAGTCTAATTCGTTTTTTGGCCTCACTCCAGACCTTTCCATTGACCGTTCGCGCACACCGTCAGTTACAAAGTGCTGGAATAAGACGAAAACACACAAAGGTGATGATGGATAAAACTGGCAGGCTTCATTTCCTTGGCGACTAGTAGTTGCTAGTACATGGCGGTGTACACAAAAATTCAAAACGTGGTCACGACAAAACTTAATACCCTATCCCGCTACTTTTCCCTTACGATTCCCTCATCTCAACCGAATAAGGATAGTAAATCCCCCTCCCGCTCCTTTTTTTAGCCGGCATCCCGAGTATCAACACAAAAAATAACCAAATCCCGCATCCCGCCAAACCTATTGTAGACCCTCTCTGCTAGGGGTAGACCTCTAGGGAAGTAGACACCCTCTTTCAGCTCCCTCATAAGCCAAGTGGACAGTAAAACAGATCAAGACGGAAATTCACCACAACAAAGCCCTTTGATGTTCCGATCAATAACAATAAAAATATGCAGATTGGCCTCCGCTTACTGGAAGTTTATCTGGAATTTTTAAACTTTAAGGGTCTGTTCTTCTGTAATAAATGCCTGTCACGACGCTGTATGTTCATGGCCATGTTAATTGGCCTGCATTTCTACATTTGGCAAAATGACGGTAAAGCTGGCAAAAAGAGACCAATTTCGATATATCATAAGTCATACCTAGGGGAAATAAAATAAAAGAAATGTATCATTCATTGTTGTGCCTCAAGTGTGAATTTGAATATATCAAAATTGTTCTATAGTTTATAACGTTTTCTTTTATCCAAACCACCTTAAGAGGAAAGAGGTCAAAACGCTTTTAAGAAAGGTTTCTATAAGAAAATCACAATCAACTGCAAAAGCAGTGAACTGGTAATGTTTGCTTCCCCTTTAAGGTTACGTTAACACGGTACCGGTCGAATTTTCAACCGGTCGAAAAATTTGACAGGACACTTTGTTCACACGGAACCGTTCAATATTTTTGCGCTGTTCACACAGAACTGTCAAGCCGTAATATTTCCAAGCAAAGCGAGTAATAACATGACTCGTAAATCCATGTTCGCAATATCTGGTTGCTATTTTGGTATATACTTCATGGTGGAAAGCCACAAGTGCACCGGTAATATACACTCTGTGTAATACGCAGTATTGTGTCTTCTCACTAATAGTCAGTAGTAGTAACTAGTAGTTACTAGTAGTTACCTGTAGTTACTTGTAGTTACTGGTCGTTACTTGTAGTTACTAGTAGTTACTGGTAGTTACTACTAGTTACAGGTGGTTACTAGTAGTTACTGGTAGTTACTTGTAGTTACTGGTAGTTGCTAGTAGTTAGATATATTCCTCTCTTTTTCCAGCTGAGAAACCACGCATCCATGCAGCCACGCCTATGCCGTGCAAAAATGTTGCCGATTTTGTATTCAAAACAGTATCGAACAGGTAACCAATGTAGCTCGCGAAGCAGAGGCGTGATATGGCACGACTTTCGTGTGCAATAAATTAAGCGAGTACTAGCATTTAGAGAACAAGGCTTGTGTATAAATAGTAAACAAAAGCGGTCCGAGACAAGAACCTTGAGGGACACCCCATTTTAACTCAAACGGCTGCGAGAGCGTCTCCTTTATGCAGATTCTTTGAGATCTCCCTTCCAAGTTCGATTTGATCCAGGAAAGAGCAGTCAACGGACACCTAGTTTTATTGAAGCGATTGTAGTAAAATCCCATGGTTAACAGTGTCGAAGCGCAGTTAAATTCAGCAGTAGTAAGAGTGATACATGGCCCTTGTCTATATTCATGAGTAGATCATTCGTTACCTTTAACAATGCAGTCTCCGGGCTCTGATGGGAGCGATAACAGATTGCAATTGAGGGAAGATATTTTTTGTAATTATCTGACACTGAATCTGAGAGGTCTCCATACGCTCTGTTAATTTAAACACAAACCGCGAGTTGCTTATTAGACGAAAATTCTTGAACAGTGAATCGAAGCCGGAATTTTTAAATGATGTGTATACCACAGCAGTTTTCCAGGTTTCAGCAAAATATCCAGTCTGCAAGGAGAGGTTGATGATATTAGTTATGACGGAAGGAGTGAGTCTAAACATGCAGATAATAAGAAGGCAGGTGTTGGGTCCAAGATGCAAGATTTGTTCTTTCCAGATTTAATCATATGACGAATTGTCTCAGTCGTTTGGCATTGGAAGTGGGAAAATACAATATCACCAGATTCAGATTCCAGGTTGGGCTCGGGCGTTGACAGCAAGGATTCCGTCCAGCTTCGACCTGATACTGGTAATCTTGGCAATAAAAAACTGACCCATATTGTTTGCAGGCAGTGAAACCGAATGTGGGGAAGAGATCGATCTTTCTTCATATTCAATAAACTCTTACTTGCCGCGAACAGCCTCCTCTGGTCTGTGCTGTTATCGACGATAAACTGATTATAGTAAACACGGCGTGCCTCATGCATCAAATTCACCACACGATTTCTTTCCTTCTTAAAAGCAGCAAGATCAACGGGTAATCTTGTAGCTCTCCACGTCTTTTCAGCATTTCGTCTCAAGCGTTTCGCATTCCTAATATCTTCAATGAACCACGCAGCAAGAGGCCTGACATTAATGTCACGAGTTAAGACAAGTGCATACATATCCAGTTGAGATCGTAACGACTCATTATAACGACTGACTAGAGAGTCTAAGTCGTTAGGTGGATCATGATAAAGCTGAGAAGGAATGGCCTCAGAAAATTGGTTGGGGTCAATTGATTTCATTTTCCTGAACAGCACATGCGTGACATTAGCTTGAGGTCTATCAGATTTTATTTGACAGAAGACTGGAAAATGGTCGGAGAATAACTCACCAATAGAAGGGCATGCAGCAATGATGTTATCAGATGTACGAGTGATAATCAAGTAAAGTGTATGACCAAGTTTATGCGTAGTAGACAAATATGCTGCGTGAGGAAGGTCCATACGGATGTTAAAATCGCCCAAAATTATCAAGGGCTCACTTGACATGACCAGAGACTCGAGGTAATCGGTAAACGGCTCAGTGAAAAATGTGGATGTGGTCACAGGATGTTTAGCAGAATATGGAGGTCTGTAAACTATAACGAGTCGTAAACGGGAAGTAGTTACTAGGAAACTAATTCCGACCATGTTTATATATCAACAGCTCTTCACTTTTATTATTGGTTGTATCCCTCAGTGACCAGAGAGGCTCTTACCCCCGAAGTTCCTATCAGTAAAGATGATACGGCAAAAATTGTCTGGATAGTGTGGGGAGTTTCAGTGGCTCTTTCTGCTTTGTTGGTGGGGAAAGTCGTCCACCGTAAGAGAGCAAAGAAGAATGAACGGTATTTCATAAAATGATATTGTCTATATGAATGTTATGTATTATGATAATGATATGCATGCGGAAATAGACGATATTTTTTCTGTGTAAGTGTCTTTCTGTCTTTAAGTGTCTGTCTCTCTCAGTCAAGTCGCTCTGGTGAGTGACCTTCCTTACAGACCAAGGCGATGTAACTTTTATCACGTTGTGTAAACCAGGAAGCCATCGCTGATTTAAGCATTATTACAAGCCCATGATTAATGACGACGAATTTCATTAACATTTAATTTGCACTATTTTCTTTAGATCCAGTGAGTCTGACATTGCTGAGTTGATGTTGCTGGAAGTCCCACACGAGCGGGTTACTATCATGGAGGAACTAGGACGAGGCGCTTTTGGGAGAGTTTATAAGAGCGTAATGAGGGGGTTACCTGAAAAGAATACATCCTCCAAACCCAAGGATCACAGTTTGGATTCGCATAAGGGACGTATTGTTGCTACAAAAGTTCTACCAGGTGCGTGAGTTCAGAATATGGCAAAAAGATAACTTACTCTTTTAGCAAATGCTATTCACGGGAGTGATTCTTATCATGCAATAACAGGCAAGAGAGCCTCTCTTGTAACAGGTTTG